TCCTTGGCGCTCTCTCCTTGATGCTCTCTCCTTGGCGCTCTCTGCCTTGGTGCTCTCTCCTTGGCGCTCTCTCCTTGATGCTCTCTCCTTGGCGCTCTCTGCCTTGGTGGTCTCTGCCTTGGCACTCTCTCTTTCACGCTCTCTACCTTGGCGCTCTCTGCCTCGGTGATCTCTGCCTTGGCGCTCTCTGCTGTGATGCTCTCTCCCATGATGCTCTCTCCCATGATGCTCTCTCCCATGATGCTCTCTGCCATGATGCTCTCTGCCATGATGCTCTCTGCCATGATGCTCTCTGCCATGCAGCTCCTGGTGGATGTGGACGGCAAACAGGAATGGAGAGACTGTGCTGAAGTCAGCGGGCTCCGTCTGCCAGCAGGGTACTACTTTGGAGCTTCCTCTGCTACCGGAGACCTGTCAGGTGAAAACATCCACACAGCACGGAGGACGGCCTCTCAGCCGTTTGAATTCAATTAGGCTGCATTTCTAGGAACTGCTCAAAATTCAGCTGCAGGCTAAAGATAAGCATAAACTCAGCTCCCATTGGAGGAGATGAATGATCAAACACATCCGCAGTTTCAGCTCCCTCTGGTTCTAGAAGCTTCCAGACTAAAGATCATTAACCTAAACCACCAGAGCTGAACGTCCATAAAACAAATGAAAACTTTAATTAGGAAAAGCGCAGAAATGAAAGCAGCCTTGAAAACTTTAATTAGGAAAAGCGCAGAAATGAAAGCAGCCTTAAATGTTTGTCTCCTTTACCAGATAACCATGACATCATCTCAATGAAGGTCTACCAGCTGACAGTGGAGCGGACTCCAGAGGAGGAGGAGGAGGATGAAGAGGTGGTGTCCATGCCGCGGGTGGACAACATGAAGCAGTTTGAAGGTAGAAGCAGCTCCACTTTTTGGCCCCGTAGAAGAAGCCCTCACTGAGATGCTCTGTCCTCTGTCTTCCAGTGGACGTGGAGGATGAAGGAATGAGTGGAGTCCAGTTCTTCTTCACGCTGCTCTTCTCCATCCTGGGCCTCGGCGTTGTGGCGGTGGTGGGCCTGGTGCTCTACAGCCGCTGGAAGGAAAACAAACGCAAACGCTTCTACTGAGGAGGCTCCTCCATCTACATTACAACCACTGATGAACAGAACCAACCAGAACTCTCCTCACCAGCAGGGGGCGGCTGCGTTCAGATCAGGTGTCTCTGATTGGACAGTTGCGTCTGTGGCTCTTTGAAGATAATCTAAAGAACTAGTTTTCTAGAAGCAGCCAACTGCAGTCTGATGACCTTATTGCTGCTAAATGAGCAGACTGAGTCCCTGTGAGACCCCCCACCCCCACCTATAGCCATTCAATCAGTAACTGTGAAGTGATTTACTCTGCTAGCTGCTCCTACTTTCTCTCTGAGGTTTCCTCCAGTTTACCTCAGACTGTTGCACTGATATAGACCCACCGCCTGTTGGACCTCAGGGATTAAAGGCTGGTTCTGTGCCTGGTTCTGACTGGACCCGGTCTGACCTGCCTGGTTCTGACTCGACCCGGTCTGACCTGCCTGGTTCTGACTGGACCCGGTCTGACCTGCCTGGTTCTGACCCACAAACACCTGACCCTGAATGACCCGTAGCCTTTTAACTTTCTAATTGTTTACATCAGAGATCAGATGAGTTTCCAGCCGGGAGCTTCTACAGACCTCTGACTTCAGCAGGGTGACCATCATCATCATCCTCTCTAAGCATCATCATCATCCTCTCTGACCATCATCATCATCCTCTCTAAGCATCATCAT